GCTAAGAACATAGGGTCATCCATTCAACTAAGAAATACTCACGACGCGATGTGTGTAGGGCTCTGAACGATCGGGTGCGCCAGAACAGGTTAAAATATAAGACCCCCGTCAAGAGCTTGGGGCCCTCCATTCAAATAGAAAACACCTAAAACCCAATGCAGAGGGCCCCCGAATGATCGAGTGTGCCCGAGCAGGTTAACAAATAGGGCTCCCAACAAAAGCGTAAAGCCCTCCATTTGAATGGAAAGCACTGAAGATCCTAAGTAAATGGCCCCAGAATGATGAAATGTGCCCGAGTGACGTATCAGAAGGAGCCCGACAAGAGCGCGGGACCATTCATGCAAGTCACAAGTACCCAAAACTCAGTGGGAATGACCCCCGAAAGATGCAGCGTACCCGAGTAGATTATCAAGCGACCCAGACAAGAGTGTAGGGCCATGAATTTAAATACCAAGACCCAATATATAGGGCTCCCGAACAATTCAATGTGGCCGAAGCGGCGAACAGATGGGGTCCCCGGCAAGTGCGTAGGTCCCTCCATTGAGATGGGAAGTATCCAAGACACAATGTGGAGGGCCCCCGGATATTCGAGTGCGCTCGAGCAGGTTAACAGATGGACTCCGGCAAGAGCGTAGGACATAAAAGTGCAGAGGGCTCTCCAGTAGCAAAGGAAGTGCCCAAAACCATACGTAGAGGTACAACACGATCGAATGTGATCGAGTCTTATCAGATGGGGCCCCCGACAGGAGCTTAAGGCTGTCCATTGAAATGAGAAGTGCCTGAAACCCCATGGGGCGGGCTCCGAAAGATGGAGTGTTCCCGAACAGGTTATCAGATGACCCCGATACGGGCAGAGGGCCCTAAATTCAAACACCGAGAACCAATGTGCAGGGCCCATCAGCAATCAAGTGGGGCCGAGGAGGCGAACAGAGGGGGCACCGATAAGTGCGTAGAGCTCCATTCAAATAGCACGTGCCTAAAGCCCAATATAGAGGGACCCCCGAGCGAGCGAATGTGCCCGAGCTGGTTATCAGATAGCCCCCCCCCCCCCGCATAAGCGTAGGCTTCCCATTCAGAAAAGAAGTACGCCGTCTACCCAGCGTAGACGGTCCCTGAACGACTGAGTGTGCCCAAGCAGGTCATTAGATGGGCCTCGACAAGGGTGTAGGGCCCTAAGCAAGTGACAGAGAATTAGGAAACGCCCTAGACCAATGTAGAGGACCCATGGGCATATCACAAGTGTGCCGGTACGTTAACCGATACCCACGTAAAGGGCCCCTGAGCAACCGAGAGTACCCTGGCAGGTTAAGGTATGGGACTCTGACTACCGTTCACAGTGCCTTTCTGGCGAATGGAAATAATCCGTGGAAGGGCCTTTGATCGACAAGAGTTCCCCGGCGCTCTAACAGGAAAGGCCCCAACAACAGCGCAGGGCTCTCTGAGCAAATGCAAAGAAAAGAAGGACAACGTGGAATAGTCCTAAACGACCGAAATGAGCCTGCAAGGGGCATATAGGTCCCCGGAAACAGCATGGGGCCCTAGACGGTGTAATGGGGCTTAAAATTTCCAGTTCGCAACTTTTCCAATCATTGAGTAAATGTTGGGACTTGTCATAGGCCCTTCACTTTCGCTTGCAACTGTTCTTGAAGGCCTGAAAGTCCAGAGATACCCAGTTTCGTTGCGTCTTGTGTTAAAACTGCACCTGTCCGGCCGGCTGTGGGACCCCGGAGTCAATGGGTCCATTCGGGGCCCAAGGGGGCATGCCCGTGGCTTCCTTTCTGGATCGGTCTCTGCTTGTTACCGTACGTTTTGGGGGGATACTTTTGTTATTTTTCACTTTTTGCCCCTGCCCGGAACTCAGTTTGCCCTTGACGTCGGACTGTCGTGGGGAGAAAGCGATTGCTCCTAAGCCTGAAGTGCCATTAAGGTGACCATGGCGAAATCTTAAATGGGAACACCGTCAATCCGATATGGGACCCGAAGGGCTGGCTAAATGTCATTGAGGGGGCGCGGGTCGAACCCTCAAATATCATTCAGAGGGCCCGTTGCAACAATTGGGCCCCGAGCTGGGCCTGCGAGCCCATTTCCCGGGCAGGGACAGGGTCAGGACCCGCGATTTACATTGATCAGTGCACCCCGAGCCAATGAGGGGCCCCTATGTCGGCCAGGGCACACAGCGCTGACCGGAGGTCCGGTGTTGACAAGGGCCCCGGGTTGGTCAGGGAGTGTACGAGGGTTCCTGAAGAGGGACCGATGTGCCCTTCAAGGCTGACGATAAACGGGCCGATGGGAAGGTTGAATGGCCGTAAGGGTCGAAAGGCTGCAGGTCATCCTAGCCCGTATGGCTGTGGATACCAAATGTTAGCCAATATGCCTCTTTCGCCGATTGTGGACCCCTGGGACAGTGCGTCCACCCATTTCGGCCGGAGACCACTACACCGAATAGATGACTCCGTGTTGTTCTGAGCCCTGGGGCCCCATTTCTCTAGCAGGAACGAGACCGAGGCCCGCGATTTGCATTGGTCGGAGTCCCTACGACAACGAGTGGTCTTTTGACGGTCAGGCCCCCAGAGTGTCCAACAGGGGGTCCTGTGACGGAATGGGTCCCGAGTCGGCCAGAGGTGACTCGGGGTCCTTGCGAGGCCCTTCACCCCGTTTTAGCCAAGGATCCGTTGGCCAAGCATGGGTATCTGTGCCAGCTATTGGATCACCTGCGGTTATCAGAGATATTGTTACCCCAATGAGGGCTCTTGCGCCTATTCTAGGTCGAATGCCCCAGCTAGAAGCAGCCAATGGGCCTTCCGCACCAGGGAGGGGCCCCAATGTAGGATGTTCATCTGCGAGGACCTCAGGATGAGCCCATCAGGCGAACCCGCCTCCATGTTGCCAGAATAGCAGCTGGTAGACACCCCGGGCTGGGACGGAATGATCTTTAAGCAATTGCCCGGGAGGGTCGTGTGCACCTAACTTTTCGCTAATGCCTACACATTTTAAAAATTACATTACACATCATGTTTACGCATTTTACACATTACATTACACATCATGTTTACACATAACACATTTTCAATTAATGTTTACACAAGTTGCTGGCCTCATTTAGATTTACGGTCAACTTTCACGGGATCCTAGATATCTATGTAGGGTGTGGGCTCCCTCCCCCTGGAGGGACGGAGTCCTCTTTATCTTTAGTCCTCCCTCTGACATTAGAAACGACGCTGCTGTCCGGTATGGAAAGCCCAAATCAGAATTCATTCCGCTTAGAAGTGTAGCGAGTTGGCATCATCACGCCACACCGATAGACAGTGAAGCGGCCGTCGCCGAGATTCGATCCCGGGCTTACAGCGTGCAGGACCAGCCTGCTAACCATCCATCCACTGGAGATGCGGGCCGGCGGCCGAAAAGTCGTGATCAGAATAGAAATGGTTCAGAGTGAGTTGACGGATTGCGTGATCGTTTGATGCCTATCACGCATACATCCGACTTTTCGCACGGGATTCTGCATATTTGCACTTGCTTCGCTCTAAGGCTGGCAATCCGCGTATGCTTGACACGTACAACCATCTCAATGATTTTTGGAGGGTGTATAAGCCCGGCGCGTAGCCACCCTCCATTTTGGAGGGTGTATGAGCCCGGTGCGTAACCGCCCTCCGTTTTGGAGGGTGTATACGCGCAACCTTGAGGTTATTACATCATATCTGATGCTTGCATCAATGTATTTAGATGAGGAGCGTTCCCTTCAAGGCTCAAGAATTTCAGTGTCATTCTTATCGCACTGAGACGGGACATTAAAATTACTAAGCGCATCAAATGGAACATGTCCAAATGAGAGGAACGTTTAATACATTAGGCACAAGCTTACTCAATGTCCCGTGGCAACAGTCGGAACACCCACCCGGGTGGCCGGTTGAATGCAACGTTCCTGAGCGGGGTGGGGGGTGGAAAAAACAAGGGGTGGGAAACTCCACCATGGATACAAGTTTGGAAAAGGGTGCCGATAGTGGAGTGGTTAACGCGTCTGCGTTAACCATTGCGCGTTTGGGAAACTAGAGGTACGGGGTTCGATTCCACGTGGTGCCGCTCTTCCTGTCAGGGTGAGAAGCCGGTGCCTTCATGTAGCGTCAGCAGCGGAGTGCGTCGTAACGCCCCATTGACGACGTTTGAGTTTGAAAAGGAATAATGGGGTCCGAGCGCAATGACTTTAGACTTCATAGATCTCTTGAGATTATAATTTGCTATGTGTCTGGAAACTAGATGCCCCATTGTAATCAGGATGTCAAACACTACCACTGATACGAGTCCCAAAAAATTTGCAGGGGTCCGGGATCAATGGCCTTGAACTCCGTAGGCCTCTGAAGGTTATGGTTCTGATTGTTGCGGGACAACGGGGGGCACGACCGTAATCAGCGTGTTGAACAGTAATATTTAAATGAATGTCAGGAAAGTCGTAGCTGGTCAACGCTGGAATGTAGATTTGATTGTGCATGAGAATAAAAAACTTTCTTGGCAGACGTTTGATATCCTTTGTTTATGCCTACACCCAGTTGTGCATGACGTTCGCCATTCTGTAACAGCTCTCGGCACCCTTTTCCAGAGCGTCCAAGGTCGATTGTTGTATTCATTGATATTCGCTGCACTCGGATTGGATCTCCGTGGCGCTGCCCATTTCTAGATAATGCCTCAAATGTTCTGCAGGTTGGCTCAACGTGAGACAGCTTTGATCTGCGTTTGCCAGTCGCCGCCGGTTCCGAGGTGTGACAGAGCAGGGTGGAACGCTGGCGGATGGTCCAGTCCGGGGGAACAGTGCGGTTTATCCGAACGTCGGACTTGAGCGAGCAAAAAACTTGAGCATGGAGCGCCGCAGCGCAACTGTTTCAGCACAGCCCGTCACGCCGTGCTCCATTGTATCATCAGCATGGAGCACTGCAGCACGGATTATTACGGCGCGGACTGTCACAGTGGGAGACAGTACTCCACGAGATGGCAAACCGCGCCAGTCATCACTGCGGCTTGTACTGGCACACCACGAAGAAGTGGGCCGTGTCGCAATTGATGTCGCGCCACTGCGACCAGAGGAAGCTCATGTACACGCAGTCGCCTGTGTCGTTCGGTTCGTCACCAAACCAGGCGACGTATTCCACCGGAGAGCCATCCTGCCACGCGAAGGACGAGGCGTTGACGCGCTGCAGGCCCAGCCAGATGTCGCCGTACTCCTTGTTTACGGCCGTGTCCATCACAAACTCGTTCTGCGCGTGGCTGTGGATGGAGGGCAGCGTAGACCCGCTCTGCACCACCTCGCATGCAGCGGCCGCCTCGGCACGCGTTACGAACAGGTGCGGCAGCAGGACATAGCACGAGTCTTCGAACCGCCGCCAGTTGTTGGTGGGGCAGTCACCGGCGGCGGCAGCGGCGGCGGCGACGGCGGCGGTCAGCAGCGGCAGCAGCAGCGCCGGGCGGCGGAGGACGGAAAACATGGCGTTGTCGCGGCGTCAGGTCCGACCGGTGCAGCGGCCAGGTTAGCTCTAACACCGAGCGTGAGGCCCAACTGGTGAGCACCGGGCACCGGGCCTGGTACGCTATATCGCCCCTCCCTCCCGACAGGGCGTACAGCTGCGCTAGCTCCCATGGGAATCAGCTGCTGCCGACTCGCCGCCGACCTGCCTTTGTCCAACGCGCTACGGTTGATTTGAAGACGTACGGATGGGCAAACATTGCAAATGGTGGCCTGCCGTTGTCACATCATCTTACGATCAAGTCACCAATCGCTCCGCCAAATGTGTTCTGTTTTGTGAACTATCGTTGCATTCAGGGCTAAGTTCCCTAATCATTTGTGGTGGCGGTGGAGGGGGGGGGGGGGGGAGGCTGAGAAGAACGTGACACAAATCGGCAAAAAACCTGTTCTAATTGTGTTGGGTATTTATTTTCCCTGCTCACCCTCCCCCCTCTCCCCAACTTACACTACGAAACTGGACCCTTGGTTGTGTTTATCACTTATAGTTACTCGAGGATGTTTTCTTGGCAACACAGCCATCATCATTTGCGTATTATCATTCTACGAGCTGGCCGGCCGCTTCTAGCTAGTTCCGCGCTGAAGGGTGTGCGTGCTGATACGAGGTTTACACAGCCAGCCTGCACTGAAGGACGTTGCGCTGCTGATACAAGTTTTACATAGCCAGCCTGCGCGTGAGGGACGTTGCGTGCTCATACAAGTTTTACATAGCCAGCCTGCGCTGAAGGACGTGCGTGCTGATACGAGGTTTACATAGCCAGCCTGCACTAAAGGACGTGTGTGTTGATGCCAAACTTACATAGCCAGCCCGTAGTGCTCCAAACAAAACATCATTTTCGTAAGGCTGCACCCTCCGCGCACAAGTAGAATTGTTTCAAATTGGGCGACGATCTGTAAAAATCATCGCTCCAACCGGTTCGCTCCAGCTGGCCCGTCACCATTGCGTGATATGCTCTCGCGTCGACGGCATAAAGTCGAAATTGAAAGATAGCGTGTATTTTGCACTGGCAGCTGACGGCGTAATACCATCACCATACAATCCACACCTTTGCGACCTTTGGGTTTGATTATGAGTATTTTCGCAGGCCACCGCATTATGGCCAACATTTTACGTTAAGGCCGGCTGCAGGCTAGCTTAACGCTGTCGAAGGGGTCCACCGTTGTGGCCGTAAAGGCCAGATCAACATAACCTCTCTGTACTGAGCCTCAGAGCGCGCTGCCGGCTGCGGCCGGGCTACCGACCGCAACTGGTTACAAACCGCCGGTGGCGCGTCGGGCGGCGCAGCATCACCATCCCGCGCAGGGGGCACGTATGCGGAACACCACAGCACGGTCGATAGTATACGTGCACTATACTGCCTCCAACGAAAATGATAAAATCAAACTCGGATAATGCTAGAGTCAGCTCCCGAAAAATCCATGCTGCTCCTGTGCCGCGGCACCGCACGGCACACGAACCCGGCGTATCAATGGTGGCACGGTCGTCACAGTTATGACCAAGCTCGGCGCGTCCGACAGATGCGCACGAAGGTCGGACACCGTGGTTTCCGATGGCAGCGTCACCTCTGCAGCAACTGTCCGAGGTACCCCGGACGGCAGCGTCACCTCTGCGGCAGCTGTCCGAGATACCCCGGGATTGCGTCGTCACCTCTGCAGCAGCTGTCCAAGGTACCCCGGGATGGCGGCGTCACCTCTGCAGCAACTGTCCGAGGTACCCCGGGATGGCGGCGTCACCTCTGCAGCAGCTGTCCGAGGTACCCCGGACGGCAGCGTTACCTCTACAGCAGCTGTCCAAGGTACCCCGGACGGCAGCGTCACCTCTGCAGCAACTGTCCGAGGTACCCCGGACGGCAGCCTTCACCTCTGCAGCAGCTGTCCGAGGTACCCCGGGATGGCGTCGTCGCCTCTGCAGCAGCTGTCCGAGGTACCCCGGACGGCAGCGTCACCTCTGCGGGCAGCTGTCCGAGGTACCCCGGATGGCAGCCTCACCTCTGCAGCAGCTGTCCGAGGTACCCCGGGATTGCGTCGTCACCTCTGCGGCAGCTGTCCGAGATACCCCGGGATTGCGTCGTCACCTCTGCAGCAGCTGTCCAAGGTACCCCGGGATGGCGTCGTCACCTCTGCGGCAGCTGTCCAAGGTACCCCGGGATTGCGTCGTCACCTCTGCAGCAGCTGTCCAAGGTACCCCGGGATGGCGGCGTCACCTCTGCAGCAGCTGTCCGAGGTACCCCGGACGGCAGCGTCACCTCTGCAGCAGCTGTCCGAGGTACCCCGGGATGGCGGCGTCACCTCTACAGGAGCTGGACGACAGCTTCCCGTTGGCATCGCGACGGACTATCACGTGAGCGGAAGTGATCGGCTCAGGAGATCCTGCAAACAGTCCGTTGTCTGGCCTGCACCTTACCTGGTCGGTGTGCCGTCGCCAGAACCTACCACCTTTCATTCTGATGGCATACGATAAGGACCCATCAATGCCAACGGTCCTTCAAGTGGCCGACTGTGGTTTAACGCCGTAGTTTCTTGCAAGTTCAGGATCTGCGACGTCAAATGTGCTATCTCTCTTGCCAGATGTGCAGTAGCATGTGTCAGTTGTCGTGTGCACAGAAGCAGTCAAGGATGGATTTGCTGTTTTTTTTACGTTGTATACCATAGCTCGGCAGTCAGAGCGCGCAGAGGCGCAAATTCAAGTGCGAAGCGTCGACCGATGTACCGTCTGCAATCCAGTTGCCCAACATGAGACTGTGCGACGCACGGCTACGCCGATAATCGTCGAGCAGGCCGAAAATGTCGGCAATTCGAAAAATAGCGCTGAATATAACTCCCTGCTGTAGGAATTGTGGCCAGGATCGTGGCGAATTTTACATCGCCGCATGCACCGATTCATTGCCTGCATTTAGCACTCTATTATTTGTTATTTTGATCATCGTTCCGTCCAAACATCCACATTGCCTACAGGGATGCAGTTTAATATTTTCGCATCGTCAAAATACCATTGGTCGGTCGCCCAGTCGCCACTGGTGAGTGCTTCAAGTATAATGACGAAATTGACACGCGCCGTATGTTTTTGACGTCCGGCAGCCGTCATTCATTATCTATTTATTCATTTATTCATCCAATCGATACGGAAAATGTCAGCCATAGAGGCGATCAACAGCATTACCCGAACCCCTTTCGTTGAGAAATGTCAGAAAACCACACATATCGAGTAAATCATAACTTGCAACGGGTGCATTGAGAGGACCCATGAAATGCAGTAACGTTTCAGCGGAGCTCAGTGCTACGGCAAAACAGCAATCCCACTAGCCACGCAGGATATGTAAACGGAAACATTGCCGAAGCATTTTGACAGGTAGCACTAGTGACTATTAGAGAGATCTGGCATTTCCAGTGGCATCAAGCGCGGTTTTCTCCAACTTCTAAAATGCGGGACGGCGTTCTAACCGAGTGGTAAACTCGAGAGCAAGATTTAAAAGCTGGGCAATCGCTACTCGTAAGCAGATCAAGGACTCAACAAAATGATTCCGTCATCGATGTTTTGAGATTATTTATTTGCATCGTTTTGCTGTGTTTCATCAGCCTCCATGCATGCCTTGGTGACACGAAATCTGCAAGCGCGATGGCAACGTTTATCCCAGGTTCGAATTAAATGGAATGTTTCACATTTGCCTAGAGTTTTGAACTGAAAAGCCATCTTAAAGATCATTTGGTGCACCTCAAAATCCTGCCCTTCTTAAGACCTAAACCATTTAGTTTTTTAGATACATGCCTGCGAAGATGTGCACACTATTTCGTGCAGACTTTTTCAAGACTTCCATAGCATCTATGACGCAATAATAACGACATTTAAACGCTGTCATCCCACTGAGCATGCGGCATTCGTGAGCACGATGTCCATATATAGTGATAAAGCCGAACTATGTAACAACAAGCAGGTATATAAAACAGCAGCAATAGCCTTATTCCCCGGAGAAAACCTAGGAAAATTGAAATGCATATGCATTCATATTTTAGCAACATGCCGTAGTTGAAATGAATGGTAGAAGTGAATTACATTCCAACATTCACGTCTGCCACTTGCTTCGATAAATGCATGTTGCCGAAATATCAACGCAATCTAAATCTCCATTCTCCCGGCTTTTATCCGAGGGATAAGGCCATTATTATTGTCTTATCTATGTGAACAGTGTTCTTCGCAAATGCACTCAACAACTTACAGACGTAGCGAAACTGTGCAAAAGTAACAGATGTAACAAGTGTTGTTTTAGGTGGCCAAACTGCTGATGCGTAGTTGCTGTCATCTGGGAGTCTTACAAGGACTTTCATATTGTCCTGCCTGTCTTATATGTGTCGTCATGCTGCAAAGCACTTAACATGTCACCCAAGGTTTTCGGGGTGACGCCAACTTTCTTCCAAAATTTGTGTGGTGTTATATGTTGCATGCGCTGAATGGGGCATTTGTATTATTGATGGATTTTATCAATAGCATGTCATTGGCTGATTTACTGTCAATAATTGACTGGCATGATCGCCCTGACAAGAAGTCAACGTCTACGTTGTCTATGTATTGGAGCGACACCGCCAATTTTTGATAGCGGGGACGAGATCGTAAAGCCATCACAACACTTGAATCCCAAAATTGGTGACAAATCCTGCGTTTAATAACTGGCGTTCTATTCACACACGCCCGAGTGGCCGGCTGGATAACCTTCGCTTGGGTGGTGGGTCAATTTGACCTCCCTTGATATCTCAGGAACTAACAGAGATAGAGGCACCAAATTCACAGGGTGTCTTTACCTGTAGATGAACTCATCTAGTTCTTATTTTGAGGCTCCTAGCTCAGTGACCTTCGGGTCAAATAAGTTCCAACAAGATCAAATTCCAGGTTGGTTTCTGAAGGACCCCAGAATCTAGATAACTGTTCTAAGCCAAAATTCACATACTCAGTTAAGGTTAGTGACCTTGTCTGACCTTTTGAAGGTCATGGCGACCGACATCATACAAGACTAATCTGAGTTAGCGGCAAAGGTTACGCTAGGAAGTATGTTTTTAAAAACAAAATTCGGTCGGTGACCTGTTCTGACCCAAAAGAAGCCCATGGAAGGTGTAGGATGCGGTTCCTGTTATCAATAAATTTCAAATGAACACCAGAAGTACCCCATACAGGAAGCTCTAGAGTAATAAAACGGGTTGGTTTTGACCATAGTCCTGACCTTTATACATGACCCTAGGTCAATACAATTTGTTCATTCAATGGTTGTGTTGCCTCAGAAAGCATGTCAGAGACGTATGGCTTCGTCTAACCGTCTGTTGCATCATATTGATCGATTCCCCAGAAATGGGCTCCGCTAAAACCAAAGCCTGACTTTGACCTGCCATAGGTCAGCGACCTTACAAGGTGTATCTAAGTTTTTGATGGCAGACGATTTTCTTTTCAATTGTCTATAGCTATGCAAAAGTATCAAGTAAAAATAAAGTTGTGGCACGCCCTAAACGGTATCTGACGCGGTGCGTTCAGACTGGCAATGTCGACTGCGGCATGAGCTTGGTCCACTCGATCCAGGCGAAGGCGATGCATGTGACACACTGCAGCTGCCTTGATCCTTTTTTGCGTCATCATTAAGCGAAGCAAGTTTTCCACCTTAGGTGCACGGTGAAACTGCATTCAGCTGTGGGTGAACTTACGAGTAGGGTCATGAAACGACGATCGTGGTTGAGGATTTCTAGTATGGGTGCCCGCGAGTTGTACCTCACATTGCGGAGAATAAACTGGGGGATTTATTTGCCCCTTGGCAAGTGGCGAGGGATAGTTGGCCTTTTGCCCCTCAGACGGCTCTGCCCCTTGGCGCCTCTGTAGAGTTGGTATGCTCAGCTTTTACGCGACAAGGAAGGAGAATGCTACGAGCTGGAAAAAGAGTAAGAGATGGTTGAAAGGGTGCTTTTC